GTGTCTTATCGTCACAGATGTACTCCAATAGGTCCTCCTCGATTGTTGTCTTCCAAATAAATAAAGCCTTATCGACCTTGATGTTCTATTTTCTTAAGACTTCGACATTTTCCTTTGCTTAAGGAGTTGTATCATTGCTAGCAACTATTTCCTACAAAGCTTGACCCTGTAAGTAGGATTATATGCAGGTATGCCAATAACCATAGTTGTGGTTATTGAGCTTCTTGATTCCACTACTCGTGCTTGTAAGATCTGTCATCATGAAAGACGTCCGACGTCAAGTAGACTTGGTCCCAGACCAATGAGCTTCACAGTTCCTAACTGTGCTTTGACAGAATCTACCCTTAGAACCTTGTTATTAACACGTCGATGTAAGCGTCCAACCCTTACCGAAGCTTTTCTCCACTAGAAACGATCCCGAACCACCTGATCAGATACCAATTGTTGAAAACTTTGACGAGCATAATACACCCACTATAGAGGACATATAATATATCATTCACACTACACCAATACTTTTGACGTCGGTTAGCCTTTTATCTTTTAAATTCTTGATTCACAATAATACTTAGGCGGCAAGACCGACCATATATCATTCAGACGGTATAACCGACCATATATTAATCAGGCGACAGAGCCAACCATACAATAAAACTAACACAAGTGCACTAAAAACTTAGAAACAACTAAGGTTTAATCGAGAAACTTAAGAGAAGAGAACACTTTTATTGATACAAAATACAATTAAAATATTACCCAGTTACCCCACTACTTTACTATTCTCTACCTCTAAAGCTCTCTTTCTCTATCTCACACTTTTGGCACCATTTTCTCACTTTTTCACTCTTACTACAATGGTAAAATCTCACCCCTATTTATAATTTCTAGTGGTCATTAGATTGTTGACACGTGTCATTATCTTAGTCATTTAATATTAAAATATCTAGACTCTTCTAATAGATAATTCTAGATATAATATTAAATAATACAAATATCTATATTTTTCCATGAATATTTCTACACATCTACCATTTCTATATTATTCTAGAATGTCGTAGATGTATATGAAGATCTCGCACTCAACGTTTCTTTGGTCTCTAAAATCAAACTTAGAACACCATTTCCAGATCCATGTTCTTCTAAACCTCGAACATGGTACATGGGTTCATCAGAGAAGGAGGGGCTCATTGAAGAATCTCTTTTTCGTACGATTTCAAAACATACCAACCTTCATTCAGCTGAAATCTGCAAGAAAAACAATATTTTTTCTCGATGTTCCTCGAGCCAATTCAGATACATACACTTTCTTCTCAGCTGAATCCAACTTTCGTCATTAGGATAATTACAGTTTACGGCGTCAATCATGGCTTAGTCGGGTCTTTCTTCAAAGTGGTAGTTGATTACTATTAGAAAGATGTTAAAAAAGTTCGACAAGGATGCGACTTTTCATTTTTCTGTCGATTGGTCCGGTGAGTTTCGGTTCAGAAGGGGCAAAACCAGGGCGCAAAATTTGAGCGCAACCCATTTGTCTGGGTATGAGTTATAATAGGTTTTTTTTTAAATATTAAAAAATTGTAAATGTCATGCCACTAACTAAACATGTCAATAATATTATCTTAGGTGGAAACAGCTGGCATCCACATCAGCAGAAACTAACTGTTCTGTTAGTCAAGATGATCAAATGTGAAAATTGATAAATTTGGTCTACTACTGGAACAATTGTGACCCTTAAGCTAAGTAGGTGAACTTTTACACTGACTACTTCATTATGGTGATAATTCTTTGTGACATACAGAGGACACTTGGGATGAAATCCAGGAACATCGATGCGTACTGTTATATTGCCTTTGCATTTATCTTTTTTTAGAAGACTTACATTTAAACTTGTATATATAGATTATGTTGTTCGAATTCAAATCATTATTAAAGGAGTATATCTTTTTTAACCACTAGAATTACTCTAAAATTTTAAAAAATAAAAAAAATCAAGAGAAATATAAAAGTATAATTTAATGAACTCATTGAGAGATTTCAGTGATTAAAAGAAGTGTTGTTCTTTTTTAATATAACAAATTCGAGTAGTTGTGTCTACATGATGCGTATGCATTGTCAATGATTAGAAAAGATTATAAATAAACAATATCTTATAATTATTTCAGACTATTCAAAAAAATATTTTAATAAATTTATTTATTTAAAATTTTAACATTTTATGTTTTAATAATATATCAATAAATTAAATATTAATATATTATTATAACATTAATGTATGATGTATCAATAATATCATGATTATTTTCTTAAATCCTTTGGGTCTTTTCTCGGACATGGGTTAGACACCCCCACTGGCGGATCTCATCACCAAGTGAGCCATTATTTGCTAATTGGTCTTTGGATTTCTTTTAATCTGCAATTCAATCCTCTACCTTCATCAAATCTTTTGATTGGGTCCTCTTCGAATGTACAAGACAATAAGACATACACAAAAGGAGTAAAAATTCAATAGTAGAAAACGACCCAGATTTATTTCCCTTCCTCTTTAGGTTAGGGTGCCCACAATCTATTACTCGTATTGATTTCTTGCCTAGAATATACACATTATTCTCTTCTTTCCATTGTTTCTTTATTTCCTATTTCTGGAATAATTAAATTATTAATCATGTTTATCTACATTTCTAATAGCATCGAGGTATTTAATTAATAGTAACTTCTGTCTGCTATATTAAATTCATGCTTCATCAGCATGAACCAACTTACCTCAGTGATTAAAGGATTTGTTATTGTTCCTAGAAGTCACATGTTTGAGCACCAACGATTGTAATAGAATGATTGAACGTTTATTGTCAAATATTTAGAATATATACTACTTTATATTCACCTTAGATTAATAAAAAAAATCATGCCTTGTCTCTATTTATTCTTTTCATTTTCTTTTTGATGTTGGAAATGAAAATGACGTCTTAACTCGTGAATTCATATTTCTTAGAGCATAATTTTAGGACAAAAGCGTGAAATAAAACCGCCAAAGAAAAAACACAGTTTGCTTATGATGCATGCCAATAAAATTATTAGCCATAGGTTTGAAAATCATGCTTCGTTTCACATCATTCTTAATCATAACCCTCTAACATTTTACCCTAGTCAACCAAGAAGATCTCATTTGTTAGAATCGTTATTATTGTCTGAAATACATTACTTATTGTGTTTTTAGATGCAATGCAACCACTTGCATGTTAATTGTCCCAATAAAGAGATAAGACTTCGAGATTAGATAATTGCGATTGCCATGAAGAAAGAAAAACATTACTTTTGTTTAAAGTTATTTTTAATTTAATCTCGCCTTGGAACAAGAAGTTGGCGTGTAATTTTGCCATGAATGGAGATTTGAGCGGTTTTCGAAACAATTACAATAAATTGAAAGAAAAAAAAAAGTTGTATTAATATATTTTTAAAATTTAAAATTTATTTATAATATAAATCAGCTAATTACTTCAATTCAGTTATAAAATTTTATTAAAAGACCCGACCAAGAAAATTCTAACTTATCCACTTAAACTGAAATCAATTAAATCGGGTAATTCAGTTTTATCGGATTTATTCAATTATATCCGAAAATTATTCTCCCCTAAGAAATACAAGGACTGCCTTTTGTTATTTTGAAAGATGAGGAAACCATTGTTGGCTGGTTAGTGAGGTTCTCGGGTCCAGAATTATTAGGCAAAGTTAACCCGTTTATAGTGTACCCCTACTCTAACACCAAAAACCTAGAGACTAGCATTTAATCAAAACCTACATCTCCCAAACTAACAATAATTCACCAACAATTTATTATTATCCTCGTTTGTTCATGTGTTATAGATTTTAAAAAATATTTTTTTTTCATAAAATCTTAATATATTTATATGTTAATCTTTTAAAAATATTTTTCCACTTATAATATAAGTGTGAAATATTTTTAATATTTAAGGTAAAGTATATAAATGGTCTACAATTATAAAAGTGTTACTTTATTGAGTCCGTCAATTATTAAAAGTTATAAAATAGTCTCCGACCATAGGATGTTACTTTGTTGAGTCTTCAATTGATTGATCACTCGACTATTCATATGTTTTAAACTCATCATTTTTCTTTAAAAATTTAAAGGTCGTTTAAGTTTAATGTTAATTTGCTAATTGAGCATGACAAAATCATATTTTAATGGTGTCTATTAACATTGTCGTTGCTTTCAAGCACTAGCTCGATGATATAATGTTTCAAGTACTGACTCAATGACACAATATAAATAAAGTCGATCCTTAAAATACAACTCAAATAGTTCTAGGATCATATTTTATCATATCGCGGTCAATAAATTAATGTCAAGCTAAGACGACATTCAACTTTTTAACAGAAAAAGACAGTTTGAAATATATGAATAATCGAACAACTATTATGTTATTTTTAATGACCTACTGACTCAATAAAGAAACATCTTATAACCAGACACTTAATAAAAGAACACCATATAATTAGAGAATCATTTGTATACTCTACCATACTTGTTCAAAAATTATATAGTTGTTCTAAGAGCATATCAAAGACACCAACATTAAATTATATGTTCCAAAAGCGCAGAAAATGAAACGTTAGCGGTGTGAGATGTGATGAAACATGGCAAGGAATGGTGCGACGGAGCAGGGTAGCAGACAAGTCTTTATAAAACCTCATGAGCTGGAGTGACGGTGGTCCAGAGAGAGGAGAATCGTGACACATACAAAACACAAACAAATAACTTTCCAACCATCGTTTCCAGCTAAGCCGTTGCTTCTACCCAAAGAGTACAGGCTCTTTTGTCATTGTTTGCTTTCATTATGGGTAATTTCGTCCAATCGATTTCAGTCTCGGTCCCAAATTATCTACAATACTACAACTACGAATCTAAAAACACAAATAAAAACCGGTTTCAACCACCGCTGCTCCACTTCCACTGTCTTCCTCCTCTTCCATCGCCGTTCTCATTTGCCACCATTTCTTTCTCTTCCTCATAACGTTAACATTAACAATGAAAATAAAGAAGAAAAAAATGCATAAATTTGGATATTAAATCTTTAAACTAACTCTTTTTGCATATTCAATTTCCCTGTAGAAAGCTGGATTCCTCAAGCTAACTCTTGTTTATGTAATAACGTGAGTTGAAGCGTTGTTTTCTTCTCTTTTTTTCCCCTTTGATTGGCTTCTTTTGTTTAACTGGGAATGTTGGTGGTTCCTGCAGAATCGAGTGAGTGGAAATTTGACTCCGTTTCTTTTTTGTTTTAACTTCTGCACTTTGTTTCTGATTGGAAGACAGTTGTCGGTTTTATACAGAGTAAAAGTTTCCTTTGAGATTGATTTTTTTTTTATCTTTTTTACCCGTGAAGTTTCCTGTTTTCGGATTTCTTCCATTTCTTTTAGTGTTCTTTCTCGTTTAATCAATATGAAACCACGTTTTGGTTCTAAAATCTTTATCTCTTTGATTAAATTCTTTTGCATTTTGATGAAATGTAGCCATTGATGAACAAGGTTGGCTTGAATATGCTTTCTCATCTGATTCAGTTACAACACTGGAAACACTGACGATCTTACTTGTTTCAAGCTTTCATCCCAAAGCAATGACTTTAAATTTGTTTATGAGGTATTGACGTGACTCGATTCGTTTATTCTATCACTTTCACTTTGTTGTTTTTGCTGTTTTCTTTTTCCAAACCACTGCGAATTCGCACCTTTTTTTTTTCGTTCTGTGTAGTTCGACCTGCTTTGAAAATTTTAAGAGTTGCAAGATTATTGTTGTTTTTTCCCCTGACGTTTGTGCTGTTTGGCGGCTGAGAAAATTTAGAATGCATGAAGATGCTTTTGATTTTTGACAGCTGTGTTATTATCTTACTTTATCAAAGTGAATTCCACTCACTAGAATCACAACCTAAACCAGCAAAATAAATGAAATGCGAACAAATAATTATTTCATGGTGATGATCAGTTAAATTCTTTCTTTTCTAACAGTTGGAATTATTTTCCCGCGTCTTGTCCAGACGGAATACGTGAGGCAATTAGCTGTCTACCATACGTTGTTTCTGTTTATGGTATTTGAATGTGCCTTTAAGGAAATTGAATTTGCTTCAACAATTGTTTCCATTTCTATCCGGAAACATCATCTAAGAGTAGTATTCCTAACCTGGCCTAAATTAAGTGGCTGCAATATGTAGCCTTTAGTCATATGCTATGGGGTCTTAGGTCGGAGAAAGGCTGCGATGTCTCTACATTTCTATAACCCCTAAACATTGTCTTAAGATGTAAATGTCTGGGTTTTCTTTCTTTATTTTTCTTAAACTTATTATACGGTCGTCTTCCCTCAGTGTGTAAAGGAAATTTAAGCAATGGACCGCCGTTGGCCTTGGAAGAAAAAATCATCTGATAAAGCCGCCGCCACTGCAACCACTTTATCACCAGCTGCATCTCAAGGCGATGAGGTTATATAATCTGCTTATATTTAACTGTTGAGTTATTTTATCTTATATAAAATTTTGTGGTATTTTTAACAGGGTACCTTAAAAGAAGCAAAGTATGTTCAAATTTCAGTAGAATCATATTCGTCTCTTACTGGCCTGGAGAATCAAGTGATAACATACGATGAACAAGTTCGGGCGTTGGAGAATGAGATAAATGATTTGAAGGAAAAGCTTTCTGCTGCCAATTCAGAGATTACTGCCAAGGAAGACCTGGTGAAACAGCACACCAAAGTTGCAGGAGAAGCTGTCTCGGGTTAGTATATGCTCGAACGTTCTACGTCTAATATTATAACGCGCTACGGTAATCCGGTTAATCCGAGTGTGGTGCTGGTTTTGTTTTAGGTTGGGAAAAGGCTGAAGCAGAGGCCTTGGCATTGAAAAACAGTCTGGAATCTGTTACCCTTTCGAAGCTCACTGCTGAAGATAAGGCATCACATTTGGATGATGCTCTTAAAGAGTGCATGTGGCAAATCCGGATTCTGAAGGAAGAACACGAACAGAAGTTGCAAGATGTGGTAATTAGCAAAAACAAGCAGTGCGAGAAGATTAAGCTTGAGCTTGAAGCTAAATTAGCTCATTTAGACCAAGAACTCCTCGAGTCTGAAGCTGACAATGATGCAATTTCACGGTCTTTGCAAGAACGTTCTAACACGGTGATCAAGATTAGTGAGGAAAAATCACGAGCTGAGGCTGAGATTGAGCGTTTGAAGGGTAACATTGAATCGTGTGAAAGGGAAATAAATTCGCTCAAGTATGAGATTCATGTGCTTTCCAAAGAGCTAGAAATTCGAAATGAAGAAAAGAATATGAGCATGAGTTCTGCAGAAGCAGCTAACAAGCAGCATATGGAGGGTGTAAAAAAGATTGCAAAGCTAGAAGCAGAGTGCCAAAGACTGCGTGGTCTTGTGCGGAAAAAGTTGCCAGGCCCTGCTGCACTTGCCCAAATGAAGCTAGAAGTTGGGAGTATTGGACGGGATTACGGGGATACTCGATTCAAGAGGTCTCCTTCCGGGGCTTCTACTCCACACCTGTCCACTGTGACAGATTTTTCCATTGACAATGCACAAAAATCCCATAAAGAGCATCAGTTTTTGGCGGATCGTTTATTGGCAATGGAGGAAGAAACAAAGATGCTAAAAGAAGCTTTGGCAATACGTAACAGTGAACTACTGGCTTCTAGGAATCTGTGCGCCAAGACATCTAGGAAGCCCCAAACTTTAGAAGCACAACTTGACATGAGCAACCAACAAAGAAGTCCCTCAAAAGCATTTGTCCAGATCCCTACAGAAGTTTACTTGAGCCAGACCGCTAGCAATCCACCGAGTATGACTTCTTTGTCTGAAGATGGAAATGATGATGACAGAAGTTGTTCTGAGACATCGGCTATAGCTTTGATATCTGGACTCTCTCAATTCAAGAAAGAAAATGGCACCGTAAAGTCGAACAAAACTGAGAATGCGATGCACCTGGACATTATGCACGATTTTCTTGAGATGGAGAAGTTGGCCTGTTCTTTAAAAGATTCAAGTGCAAATGGTAAGACAACTTCTGAAACTGTTAAGAGGAATACTTCAGGAGAGATTTCTTGCAAGGAACTCCATTCTGAAAAGCAGCATGATCTATCACCACCAGCAAATCACATTTCAGATACAGATAATTTGTCCGTCACAAAGCTTCGAGCGAGGCTCTTGACGGTGCTTCAATCAACTTCTAGAGATGTTGGTATGCGTAAAATTCTGGAGGACATCAAACATGTTGTGCAGGATGCAAGCGAAATCCTGAATCAGCATTCGATCAATGGTGTCTCTGAGGAAGTGCATGCCTATGTTGGCACATGCAATGGACAGACCTATTCTGGAGGTGGTAGCTTAACTGAAGAGAAAAAAAATCCCATGTCCCCAGGTGACAGGGTGACTTCTGAAACTGTGCGTCAAGAATTAGCTACTGCACTTTCTCATATTCATGATTATGTACGGTCCTTGGAAAAGGAAGCAAGGGCAGTTGGTGACATCTCTTCTGACGGAAAGGGATTAAGCTACAGAATTGATGAGTTCTTGGTCACCTACGATAAAGTCTTGTGCAGCAATGTGAAATTGGATGATTTTGTTTTTGATCTTTCTGCTGTTTTAGGCAAAGCCAGTGAACTAAGATTCAATGTGCTTGGCTTCAAGGGTAATGAAGTGCAAATCAGTAGTCCTGATTGCATAGATAAGGTTGCTTTAACGGAGAATAAGGTAACACAAAACGATTCATTAGGCAGAAGCTATCAAAATGGCAGTGCCCACTTTTTAAATCCAACTTCCAATACTGAGGTTCATGATGATGGAAACATGGTCTCAGAATATCAACCAAAACAAACAAACGAATTCTCTTTGGAAGAGTTCAGGGAATTGAAGTCCCAATTACATGAAACCGAGCAGCTTCTAGCAGAAACTAAATCTCAATTGGTTTGTGCTCAAAGGTCAAACAGCTTGGCTGAGACACAACTCAAGTGCATGACAGAGTCTTATAGAGCACTAGAAACACGTGCAAATGAGTTAGAGACCGAGGTGAACCTTCTCCAGGTAAAAATAGAAGCTCTGGAAAGCGAGCTTCAAGATGAAAAGAGATGCCATCATGATGCTTTTGCCAGATGTAAGGAGCTAGAAGAGCAATTGCAAAGGTAAACATTGAATTCTTGTTGGTACAATATAGAGTTACTGCCAAATATTGTTGCGTTACTCTATGTTCCAGTTTATTTTATGACTAACATAACTGTTTTCCATCACCTTTAGGAATGACAAATGTTTTGTATGTTCTTCAGCAGATAATGACCTCAAGAGCAAGCAGGTAAGGCTACATTTCATCATGTGTTTTTCAAAACCGGTCTTTTCAGACCCTCTAAGAAATCTAATATTACTGCCTAAAATGCCAAATACTCTTGCATGACCATGGCATGCTTTACGCTGTCCCTATCAGAGGTTTTTCCCTGGGGTGGAAATGTAGCAATGGAGAGATTTTCTAGAGCTTAATTCACACGGATTTGAAAATTTTGGATAAAGCTTCTTTCATTTTTATTATGTTTCATAGTTGTGCTGTTATTGAAACTTAATTTGCTGCTTTAGTACAAGTCATTCTTCCTCTTTTCAAGTTATAATTTTCTTCCACAGGAGAAAGAACTAGCAGAGAAACTAGCTGAATGTCAAGAAAACATACTCCTTCTCGGCAAACAACTGAAAGCTTTCCATCCTCAGACGGATATAATGGGATCACCATACAATGAGAGGAGCGGCAACTATGATCCCGACACCAGCTGCATCTACTTGCAGGATTTATATCAGACAAAGATAGACAGTGTAGCTGTTGCTTGGGGCACTGGAAGCGGAACTGGTGCAGAGTCCCCCATGGAGTCATTTAACATACCATGCAGCCCATCTGATACTGAAGCAACCCCTTTGAGATCACCCATCAATTCAAACCCCAGGTCTACAATGTCGAGCTCTTCATCTTCGTCTTCTACCCCAATTCCGGAGAAACATTCAAGAGGCTTTAGCAGATTCTTTTCCTCCAAAGGGAAGAATGATCATTAAGCCTGCGAATTATTGGTAATAAAGTTGATTGAGGTAGCCTCTTAATAAATGTTTGAAGAACTGAAATCGTTTCTTAGGTTCACGTCAAAGTAACATTATAACCAATGACTGTATATGGTATCCATGTCTGTTATTATTAGTGTTTTTCATTTACTCGCTTCAATTTCTGTATGTAGTTTTGTCCTTTGGATGTGCCATGTCTATAGTTCTAAGGTTTTTATCAAACGATTATATTTAAATACTCTTCCGTCTAATCTTTTCAATAAACAGGAGAAGCATATAATTTTTGCTCTAAATTGTGCCCTCATCGACAGAGAGACTGACCATTTTTCCATTATTATCTTATCTTCCAGCAGAGTATATGAAGTGCTTGTGGAAAATGATATTGACAGAATTGATATGCAGGTTTAATGAGCTTTATTGCAAACCCGAAAGGCTGGGGTCATCCATGGGTGAGAGGGAGATGCTTGTCATCCTGTTTCTTGGGCTCACACTTCAAGACTCCAGCATTGCTTATTAGTTAGCCCAAAACCCAGAAACAGCCGAAACTATTACCAACCAGCATCTTTAGCAGAAATGATGAAGAATGCAAATTGATTCAACGCAGCAGGCCCAAAGCTGTATTTCTCTGCTCTGTTACAGACAGCGAAACAGATGCCAATGGGCATAGGCAACTTGCACTGGGATTCCTATGAAATATATATTTTAATATATTTTTAAATAAAAATAAAAATAAATTATTTTTAAATTAAATTAATAATAAAATATTTATTTAATAAGTTAATATAAAAATATTTTTTAAAGTTAATATATTTATATATATAATATTATGAATTTAAGATAAGTACTCATACATTAAGATATAAAATATATATACATCATGTTGTTTATTTTAAACTAACTATTGGTCTTGGCCCTCTTGGCTCAATAGTTGGGCACATGCTTGGTGTCCTAAGTGACTCACGTTCAAATCTCTTTTGTTTCAATTTGCTTTGTTTTGTTTTCTTTCAACCATATGGTGACACGTGTCACCCTCAAATTGGTAGAAAATAAAAATATTAAATGAAAATAAAGTTAGTCATTTAACTGAATGGTGGCATATGACATCATTCGATTTGAGAATTAAATTTATTTTAATTAAAAGTATAACTAAATTGAGATAATATGTAAATAGAAAACACCAGATGTGTGATTACATCAAAATATTTAACGAAAGTTAACTCACAATTACCAAGTCTTAATTAAATAAAAACGAAAAAATGACCATATATTATGTTTTTTGAAATCAATGAAGAAAAGTGAACAAAACACAAACATAAATGATCAATTATGCAGTTAATCCAAATATATATATATAACATAGAAAAGCAAGAGTGCAACCAACAAGTATATATTCAAGCTTGTTTTGGTTTTGATGGCTTTCATTTAATTTTATAAACTCAATTGTAAATTATTAATTAGAAACTTGATCCGGAAATGGATATAGTATGGGTGTGTTTGACAAACAGTTTTTTGAAGATATTTTAGTTTATTTAAGTATAAATAATTAATTGATAGTCAAATCTTCTATTTTTAGTGTTTAGTAAATATTTTTTTGAAAGAGTTTATTGTGCAAAATAAGCTGAAAATGAAAACGTTGAAAAATCCAGTGGTTTGAAAGAGTTGATTGCAAAATAAGATGTTAAATGAAATATCTGACCTTATTTTTTTCATAATTACATCATTACCATAAAACCTAATATATTGAAATAGTCTTCTTCCTAATATATTTAAGTTGAAATTTTATTTTATTATTCTATTTTTTAGTTGTAGATTCTCAAATATATTTTAATTAAGAAAATATAACAAAACATGAAAGTAAAAAAGAATGTAGATTTGATATTTTATACAAAGTTAATAATATGTATGAATCTCACAAGATTAATATTTGAAAATATTAAATTTGAAAAATAAATTCAAAATTTTTAAAAATATTCACTAATTTTCTTAAGGAATTTTTAATTCATTGTCGAAAACATTTTATCCGAATAATTTTACCCCAATAAAAACTAAAATATTATAAAAAAAATATATGTACTTAACAACTAAATGTATCATACACTTATTTGTCATTTTATCTATATCAGCTATCAGTTAAATTTTACCAAATAATTCTATATACACAGTTAATCAGATCGATTTCTCAAATCAACTAACCAAATCAGTTAGTTAAAACAGAGCAATCAGTTGTTTGCTAAACAGCCTATATATATCTTCTTGTTTTCAATCTTGGAGCTGTTAATTGGAACACTCCAATAATCCCAAAAGACTTATATAAGTGCAGCGACCCCAACAGATTCGACGAATCAGAGAACGATGATTGATTTTGAAGTGTAATAATTGTTTTTGAATGCATGATAATGCATTATAATTTGTCTTCATGGACAAGAAAACTTCAAGTTCGTAATGATTTTCTTTTTCTTTTTCTTTTGAGAAGACTCTTTACTAGAAGTTTATTGTTGTGGAGGTTGACCAAAGAGAATTGACTACTATGCTCCACGCCTTTCCTTTTTTCTTGGTCAAAACAATCATAAATCACCAACAGGAGGACTCAAAAGATTTGAATCTTTCGAGTTTTAAGGTATTTCCTTATTCGTGTAACACCTTAATCTAGTTAGATTCGAAGATCTATGGATTAAAATGTTATACGAGACTATCGAAATAATGATATAAAAATTTTCTTTTAGAGTTGTTTGTAAATTTCTGAAATTTAGACATCCATAATGTAATATAAAAGCATAGTAATAAATTGGGTTTATAATTAACGGGAGCTCCCAAAATACATATGCAAAATAATATCAAATACCGAATTTCAAAAGAGTTACAACTGAACACATAACAAAGTCCATAATAGTACATGCCCTCTAAAGATGACTCAAGACGTACTCTGAATGATCTATGGAAACATGCACTGATACACTGGAATATTTGATGATGATAGCTCCCCACAATCTGCTCCCTAAGAACCTGCACACGAAAACACATTCCGAACGTTGAGTTTACGAGCTCAGTGCCTCACTAAAACTGTACTATATTATATGCATTCACTAAATAAAATGGCAAGTGGCTCAAGTTTGAGTATACAACTACTGGACTGCTAATTTGTGGTTTACATCATGAAGCAAGTGGATTCTACATCTCGGAGCTCACGCACCCCTCTAGCATTACCGAAGCACCATCGAGTACTCATGGGTGAGATTCGAAATTCTGCATCGGAACTTACACCCACTGACTTACTCCGTCGAGTCGGGGCATCTGCCGCCCAGTCGACTGCTGTAGTGTCGTGGCACTGACTTGGATCCACTAACTATCGTATTTTTTCTAAAAGGAACTCAAGTGTCCTGATCGTTTCTCAAGCGTCAAACAAGGCTAGTTTTATGTAAATCTAGCTATTTTCGTTTCTACTGTTATAATATTAATTATTGTTCTCGATTGAAGTCTTATTTGAGGATATACTGAAGTGTTGGGTACCTCGAGTTAGATTCCCTTAAAAATTTGCATTTTTGTCCAAAATAGACTAAAAGTATCGATATAGCCCAAGAGTATTGATACTCCTAAAAAAGTTTCGATACTTTATATAAGTACTGATACTTTTAAACATTGTGTTCTGCCTAGTTTCAAAACTTTTTGGGAGTTTCAAAACTTTTTGGGAGTTTCGAAACTATGACCCAAAGTATCGATACTCTTGCCCAGAAACTCACAAGTTTGCCCGAGAAGAAGAACAAGTTTCGATACTATCTCTCTAGTATCGAAACTTAACCTGCAAAGAGCATAAAATATGTACAAAAACTCCTATTCTACTATCCCAAAGACCTTAATGAGGTCCCCAAACATTATTAATGATTTATGAAGATACAAATGAGCATAAATAGGGCTTTAAACATGTTTATAACTCTAAAACATGAAATCTACCATGGGAATGCTTCAAGCTTATGCAACCTACTACATTTCATCTAAATGACTTAAATATGGTATAGTTGAGTCAAGAGTGAGTTACCTTTGATGCTATATTGCTGGAAACGTCAAAAGCTCAGCCTAAAGTAAATTTTTCCTTCTCCTTAGCTTTGAAGCCTTCTCCAACCTCTTGCACTAAACAAAACCAAATGCAATGGTTACTAACTGTTGCCAGGGATTAAGGAGGGTTTTGAAACACTTCCTAAGGCTAGAAATATCTAAAAAATGGGTTGGAGCCATCTAGTTCCTAAAACCCTTCTAAACATGTTTCTTGCAACTATGGTGAAATAAGTGTCTTGAGAGCTTGAGGCAAAACTTGAGATACAAGGATCATGATTCTTACCTTTAGGTTGCTGAACTAAGGTTGCAAGACTACCAAGTTTCTATCTTTACTTGGTTCTTGGAGAGGAAGAAAGAGCTATGAAGATGAAGATTTGAATAGGATGATATCACCAAGCAATTAAGGATTTCAGCCTTAATTTTGAACAAGGGTAAATTTGCTTCTTTGGTCCCTCCAATTCTGACTGCAGATTAAAAACACACTTTTTATTTCACAAATGGGCTCAACTCAAGCCCAAATCCTCTTCAATTTAGCTCAAGGTTCCTACAAGCTAAGGAATTAAACCAAGGCTCACTCGAGTTAGCCCAATACTTCTAACCCAGGATTCGGGGAGTTACAACTCGCTCATAAGATTATGCTGTATAATTCAGACAAAACTTCATCCCATAATGTTTTCATCTAATATTTGAATTCAACTTCAAATTATAACATTTGAACGGATAATACCTTGTACTTATCCCAAATTAATAAAAAAAACTTAAAATTACAAAACGAACAATATATTTATTTTTGAGGAGAATCAAATTTAATCATCCACCTTTTAGTGATTCAAATATAATTTATACTGAATCAAGTATTCATCATACCATTTAAAATTTTAAAAAGATAATAATATTCGAATAATTTATAGATAAAAATAAATTTAAAATTTTTAAATAAATTTCTTGATTCAAATCTAAATAATTAAAAATAATAATAGATATTCAGCAAATATCATATATTTAACTATTTTTTTTTACAAAAAGAACGATATACGTGTCAAATGATTCGTTCCAAGATATTTTGTTGGAGTGATAGTAGTAAGAGGAAGTTTTTCCACCATCCTTATTGGTAGGAAATAGGAATATAAGATAAATAGTTGGTTTTTCCACGGTGTATGGATAGATTAAAAGCTTAAAAAAAAAAGCTGAATATCGTGGAACCATTAGCAACATGTTAACCCTACACCTGCAGGCTACAGGCCACCCCACCTCCCAACATTAGTGGCTGCCTGCCTTTCCCTGTCCTAAACTCAATAATGGAGCAACTAGCATCAGTACAATGTGGCGGCGGGTCGGTCAATGGATCCACCAAAAATAAATATCACCCACTCATCCACACTTTATTTTAAACCATTGTTTATTTATCCACCACATTATGATTGAATTTTGAAACGCTTTCTTCTTTTTGTGTCAATTTTAAACCCCCCCCCCCCAGTCACCACTACAACTTCTGCTACTGCTATGTTGTTATATTCCATTCGGATATTTAAACCTTAAACATTTCTATTCGAAAACCCCAACTCTTTGGAACTGAAATAAAAAAATCTTAAATCTTAAATCGAAAAACTTTCGAAATTTTATGTGGGTTTTCACTTGACTAGGAGATTACTCTGAGATGAATCAATGTAAATTTTAGGTAGAAGAGAAGAAGAGGTTAAAGAGATGAATGAAAGCTTTTGTTGGTTTGTGGGGAAGGTAAGGAGATTAATGCAAGTAAAAGAAAATAACTATAATTTAATTACTAAATCTTCTATTTAATTAATTAAAAGTGTTTTATTAATTAATAAAATATTGTTGATATTACTGGATAACAAATTTTGTTAGACAAACATAATTCGGAGGAGTGAGGATCGAATATCAAAAAAGACTAAATTATTTAATTTCTAGAATACAAGTGTTAACTAAAAACTTGAGAGTAAATGCCTGCTTTATTCAATGTTTAAATTTACAAGGATCTACACTATCATTAGACCAACAAATTTGTAAAACGACCTTTCTCACCTTTTCTTTGAGGCGTTACAGTTAAATCCAAAAAAGGTTATTAAATGAAATGTTAAAATCTTGTAGTATTTATTCTAAAATCTCTTAATCAGTTGATAATAAATACTCAAATATCTTGTTGCTCAAACTCTATATCGAGATAGCTTACTTCATACCTTTCTTATCCTTATTTAGGTACAGCACTTTGATGATAATTGTATAAGATAAGGTTCATAGCTTACTTCATACCTTTCTGAATGGGTGTTAATACATCGAGCAACTTGCTAATCAAGGTTTAGGTGATAATCAAAAACGCCATTAGACTTGAAATTCAGTATCATGTTAGTACTCATTATCAGAAATATAAAAAGCGACATTGTAACCACTTGATTTGATATAATACAAGATCACATGGAGAATTTCCACTGATTATATATAATTCACGCCCATTCTATTATTAGCTTTACAATTTATAATGTATGCTTATACAATTTAGCTTCATTATAATTATAGTAATGGGTTGCCTCTGAACTAATTAATCCAAAGATGGGCAGATAGCAGTTAACCAACTGAATAGGTGAAGGATAACTCCCCTAAACAAAACTGTTTACACCAACCAACCACAGGTACTTCTAATTATATATAATATTTTTAAAAATATACTCTCAAAATAATTAGCCTACTTGAAACGATTTATTTTCGAAATGATTTTCATAAAAAAAACTGTTTATACCAGTTATATTGAAAATTATGTGTCACTCTTCGGGATTATTTGTAGCGAAAGTCAAAAGGTGGAAACAGACAGAAAATGGCATCGGTTGATGTCGACTATTGCCATCTAAGGATCATAGTCTCTGGTCAATAAGGAGCAGTAGTAGGGCTTTTTTAATGTTAAAGGTGGTCCAATGCAACAAATAAAATATTTTTAAATTTTTACAGAGTGCAGTGCAACCCTGTATCGCTATTGTGGAAAATATTATGTTACAGTGTTATGTCTATCAAAAACATCATCTGCAATCTGAACCGTCCAGTTTGTGGCTCATCACTTCACTTCACTCCACTACATTACATATAATATACTTGATTTCTTCTTTGTGGATCCCCGGGTAATTACAAAATAATTTGTTTAGATTTTATTTAGCTATAGATAATGCACTTTGACTCTTCGTAAATATTTTGAAGGACAACACTCTTTTCTACTAATGAAATTATTCATTAGATTCTTCTAGATGGATGTTGAAAGTTGATTAGTGATTTTGTTTCAAACATATATTGTAGAGGTCAAATGATCGGTAAAACTGAATGTGTAAAAGACAAAAACAATCTGATGGAATCAAGTGGACAAAGTATTGTGCAGTCCGCACACATGTTGTGGGGAAAGAACTCAAACTTGCATAGGAATTAGGATTGCAAGTCGGAAAACCAGAATTTTAATTTCCTTTCAGAATTCTTTTGGGTTTGGCTTCATGATCTGTGCTAAAACATTCCAATGACACCTGTCTGTATGTCTGTTATATTTGTTTTTTTAACAGTTGTTAACATAAATAAACCCAACACTAGGAGACATAACAAACATGCAAGGAAAATCAGATGATTGGGACGATGGGTAACGCCAAATATCCTTGATATTAGTTCCCTTGCCTCACAGAGTGTGGGTACATTGGCAGTTGGTATACAAGTCTAAAAACCCACATAAATTAAATACTATTTATGGGTTTTGGGGTTAGAGTTTAAACAACTTGGTAAAAAGGGGGGAAAAGAAGATACGAAGGAGAAATTCTGATGAGAGAAGCAATGAAGCAGCTTCATCTTAATCGTATTCTCCGAAAACAGATTCATATATGTTGTCCTGTTTTTCATCTGAGCATGTATGTCAGAGACTGGAAAACTTCTTCTTCACAAGGAATGGTGAGACCCCTGTCGTGATCAAACCCAAATTCTTCTTCAGCTTGATGAAGCAAACTCTGAAACTCGGGTCGGTTCAAGAAAGAGATGGGGATAATGTATCTGCTTCTGTTTTCACCCACATACACAACGAAATGGCCTTTCGGGACATCCAGAGGGAGTCCCTGCTCATCGTCGTAGCTTTGTTTCTTTCCTAAGCTGGAGCACCTCCTTAGGATTTGCTTGATGGCTGCTGTCTGAGGTAACTTGTTTGATTTCCTGATGGCCATCTTCTTTGAATTCCCACTGGGGTTTAGATTTGAGAGGAGAGTTTAGATAGATGTGATAAAGGTTGGAATGGAAGGGGGGATATATATACAAATATTTACATGGTTAGGTAATATGAGTTTGAAAAGGATGGACAAACAAAGTCATGTGAGGTTGTGGCCTTGTGGGGACAAAGGACAGACCATGGGTGTTTTAGGGGGGTTTGTACGAGTTAATAACAGGACATCCCTCAAAGGTAACATCATTGGGATTACTCCAACTTGTTGTCTGTTGCCCTACAGAAAGACACCATGGTCCAGCTCTCTCTCTCTCTCTCGCTCTCTCTCGGGCTTCAACCTTCCCTGTATTACTCGAGGACTAGCCCACCTCCCTTCATTTTCCCAATGTCCGATTTTGGTTGGTATATGTTAGCTAGTAAATCTTAAAAAGGATTTACTAATTAGCTAGTTATTACAAAAGGTAGAACCAGTCAAAGTTGGTGTCCAGAAATCAAGCAATCTTATCGAAATATGTAACCATGGTTTCTAATGTCCTAAGTTCGGCAATGAATCAGGAACTCCCAACCTTAGTTGCCAATGTGCCATAGCAAATTGCGCCTTATCAATTAGAAAAAATGGTGAGATTGGGAGGACAGAAACTGCCTCATTTGAGATAAACTTTCAGTGGCACGTGTGATTGTTTGATATAATTTGAGCATATTTGAATCGCATATCATATTCTTAATTGCATTAATCATTCACATTATGCAAATAAAGAGTTCCCTTTACTTGCAGATGATCTCTTGGTATATGAATATTTATGGACTTTTGGTAATGGTGGTCCTTGAGCTAGCTTGCTGGTGGAACTACCAAATATGAGCATAGTCATAATCAGATCATAAATTTGAAATTAAATGAGGACCACTTGCTCTCCCTCCTTATGATCCATGGCACCACAAACTCTCTCTCTAATTTCCCCATGTTCTAGGGTCCAGAAACTGCAACTCGTGGTCTCAGTTTCAACGCAAAGTATGCTCTGGTTAATGCTTCTTTTACGGCTACGTACGTCTTGGACTGTACTGTACACTTTTGAAAATCTTTCAGTCCGTTTTCAATCATATATAGTTGTTACCCTTATTATCAGTAGTGTTTTCTGTTTGGTAGCTATGGCATTAACTATGTATTAGTACATTGATCGTACCTGAGTCTCGTTGAATAATTAATGCATTGTTTTAATGTTAATGAGAGCATACGTGCTTTGGTTTAAGACAAACAGCGTGTATCTCTGTATAATATAATTTCCTCGTATTCCGAACTTCCCAAGCCAAATTTTTGTTCCACTTTTGGTTACAACTAGAATCAACACATGTTGAATGTGGGGTGAATCTGATCATAATAACTGATGGTAATTCATCAACAAATTCAATGGATTGCGTTGCAGGGCTTGTACTCGAAAAAGAAAATAAAGGCAGAACTCGTTGACCAAAGGGCACAACACAATGTTCTGTGATTGAAATTAATTTGTTTACCGGATGTAAGATGGAAGCTTAAAAATGGATACTGATACAAACAAAGATAGATCGACCGATGCTTAGATGCAATTGCATTTCTGAAAACTTTAAATTCTCATTTAGTTTAGATATATTTTTTATATTTTTTATTGATAATTTTATTTTGAATCCTTAAAATTTTATAATTTCATATCTCTAAATTTCAATATAATTTATTAAAAATTTGTATCTTAAAATAAAATCTTACAATCCTCCATAAACACGCAGGCGAGTACAAATTCTACCGATAGTCGAACGGTAGTGACTGTTTTAATGAAGATTTGAGAGGCCGGGTAAATATTTAATTCTCGGGTGGAAGAAAACGACCTCACGTTTAGGCGTGAAAGGTAAATGAATTAGGGCCATGTTAGGGGTTGTTTGTTTACATCTTAATGGAATTATTTAGCGCTGAATGTTGAACTGTTCAACATTCAACGTGTTTGTTTCTGACCTTTGAATGAAGACTGTGTTGAATGATTAAGCACCAAGGAATATTCTGAATGTTTCAGAACTATTATCAAACAACATGTCACATTTAGAGCTAAATCATACAGAGCATTTGAATCATTCAACGCTTAATAATTTTGAAGTAAACAAACAACCTCTTAGTTTTTGCCCTCCCAAAACTTCTCAAGATGAAACAGTGGGGTCCATCTGACATCTTGGTTTATCTTACTACGACTAGAAGAACCATGACTTTCAAAAAATAAACCGCGTATTGAAATTTAATTTTTTTAATTAGCTACTTATTTTAATGATGATATCTTATATCTATCATAAAGTTTTGTTTGTATCTATTCTCTTAAAAAATTGTGATATTAACATACGTGTGTACTCCACTAAAAAAAATCTCTCTAAAAACTAACCTTTTTAACTCTCGGGAACCATAATTATATGTTGAAGGAAGAATTATCAAACAGTGTTCGACGCGAGATATTATAAGCTTCGAGCATCTGATGGTTTGCCTCAGGATTCTTTATTCCAAGAGGTTCTTTTATTTGTATGTATTGCGTAAGCAATTGGTTTGAGGTGACCATCTACCTGCGGAGCAACCGTACAAGCAAATTGCATGGGAAAGAAGTTGACCTTTTACTAGAAATTTATGCACCAGACAGTAATTACAAGCATGTTCCAAACCGAAGAAAAAGCTAGACACCGACTTCACAATCTGTAAATATAGAATACTTGACGACAAACCAGAGGCAAATAATCGAAACCCAATGCTCCGTTCATATTTAAGGAACCAAAAAAATATTGGTAGCTAGGGATGGTGACCCTTGGAGGCAGGCAGCTCGACAGAACCAAGGAAATTCAAACGGTCAACTCATAGAAAACTCGATCTTTAATTTTGTGAATGTATTGGAGAAGAAATTAAAACGGGATGGTCCCGATTTCACAGGTAAGCCCGTATGAATCCGGATCGCCAAGGACTTACGGATGTACCATAAACGGAGAGATAAAGCACGTGTACTGTGTAAGGTGAAGGAAACCATAATGTGAACGTTTCCATTGATGTATATTGTAACAACTGCATTAGTTAATGGTCTGTTGAAATAATTTATAAAATAATAATAAATAAATTATATAAATACAAACTAATATTTTACATACATATTAGTTTTGTTAAGAATATAATAACTTCTTAAACTAACTTGTTGATTGTGTGTTTTAGCATTAGTTCATGAAAAGCTTTGTTTAAATCCCATGAAAATTAATTTTTCATCAAGTGAATCTAACAAAACGATGTCGTTTTGAGTTTTTTTAGAATCAAAACAGTCACGTCAAAACGATATCATTTTTGTGAGGCTATCACATCAGTAATGTCATAGTGTGTAGCTTTTATGTCATCATCTTGTTAAGTCATTTACGATGGAGTGGTATAATTGTACTTAAAAGTAAATGTTAATGCTGAAATTGACAAAATATAAAGCTTTATGGTATAAACAAGTCTACGCTTAAAGTTTAATGTAATTTACCCTAAAGAAAACTCTGTCGACTAAATAGCTTTGGTGATCTTCGATTGGAAATTAAAAAAAAGGCAAAAATGCATAAGTGGCCATTGTACTTTTTAAAAAAATTAATGTGACATTCGTATTATTTTTTTTATTTCAATGCGACCATCGAACTAAAAAAATAAAACTAATGTGGCCCTTTGACTAACAAATTTCATCGTTGACCATTACGGTGCTAACGTGGTAGTTCATGGTACTGACATGGCGGTCCATTATGGTTAATGACGTGGCAGATGATATGACATACAGACTAAATTGATTTTATAAAATTTAAGTCCTTATTTAATTTTAAAAAAAAATTAAAAATTATTTTAAATTTTAAATATAAAATTTTTCAAATAATTAAGAAATTAATTATAAAAATGTTAAAAATAAAATTTAAATTATTAGAAAATTGAATATACATATTTTTTTATTAAGTACAAAGTAGTATTTGTTCTAATATTTTTTCATTAAGTTAAGGTAATTACAAAGTAGTGTATGTTCTAATGAATATACATATTGAAAATACTAAAATTGTTATAAACTCCTTTTTAAAAAATTGAATAAATATATAATATGTTATAAAGTAATTACTTATAAATTATTAAACAATTATAAAATATTTTTAAAAAGATATATTATACATAATAAATACATGAAACATATATACATATTATCAACACTTATACAAAGTATTCTTCCTGAATTAATCAAGAATTACAAAATTTGAATTACTCTATACTTATAATTTTTGAATTAGTCGAAACTTATTATGTTTTTAATTACTTTTTGTAAGTCCCAACTAATTTGAAAGATAATTAATTATATAATAAGTTTCGACAAAAAATATAATTAGAAAATGTAGTAAATTTCGTCTAATATAAAATTTATTAAGTCTCGACTAATTTAAATTTTGTAAGTCTCAATTAATCTAATAAGAATACTTTGTATAAGTGATGATATGTCTATATATTACATGCATATATTATACATAATATATCTTTTTAAAAACATTTTTAATTTTTAAATAATTTATAAGTTGTCATTTTATAACCTATGATGCATATTCAAAATTTAAAAAAAAAATTATAATAGTTTTAGTATTTTTAATATGACAATTTAATTTTTTTCATATTTTCATATTTTATTTTCTGAATATTTAAATAATTTTATATTTAAAATTTAAATTTACTTTTATTTTTTAAAAAATTAAATAAGCCCTTGAACGAAAAAGAAAAACAATTTTACCCTTAAATAATATCAAAAAATTAATTTAGCATATCTATCATGTGATCTGCTAAGTCATCAGCCACTGTAGAATACCATGTCGGCATTGTAGACCTTCATGCTAGCATCGTCACAGTCAACAACGTAAAACATTGGTAAAAAAACACATTGAATTTATTTTTTGAATTGAAAAATCACATTAAAAAATAATACGATAATCATACTTATTTTTTTAACTACGGGGCCTCTAATGTTTTATTTATCTTGAAAACAAAAAAGTACAAACTGTTGTTCACCATACTGCTAGGACCAGAGACAAACTGCTGTGTTTGCAAAAGGGTGAGAAACTTATGGTGGAGACTGAGACTTATGGTGGAGACTGAGTAAGCCTTTACTTAACAGATATTTGGGCGACCAGTTGCTTTTGATGGCTGTCGGTGGATAAGCCTTTTAGGACACTGCGTCTGTGACGGGTGAACGACTATGGCTTTGCTCATGTGGGTAGACCATTCCACTACTTGGGTTGTGTCGTTTTGATCCCAAAGTCACATTTTTCCCTGTCTTATGGCACTGTCTCACCAATTTTGCGTTGCAAATTACAAACTCCAGCTTTGGATAAACATAAATCAAGCGTGCTATAGCTTTAACTATGCAGCTTGTAATGTTGCAATATGATAAATGATATTTTTGTGAGTGATACTTTTATTAACTTTGGAATGCCAATAATTTTGGCTTGCATATTTTTTATTTATTTGTTTTTTGAATTGGAAGGTGTCAATGGTTTAAATAAGAATAATTCTACAATACAGAGATTTTGATATATCATTTGAAACAAACGGTTGAATGTTGGACGATACAAAGTCGAGCAATGAAACTTGATAGTGGTCAAGAGCGAATATCTTCACCAGTCGGTTAACCTCAATTTGTATTCTTGTGGGATCCAAAGAAGCTCCGTAAAATAGGCTTGATTTCAAATATCATAGATGACTTTTATTACTGGGAGAGGGTTGAAGTCTGAGCTCGAGATAAAGACTAACTTCACGACTTCCACACAGTCTGATTGCACTTGGAACCATTCAAAACCATAGGTCCATGCCACTTGAAGGCCAATGTAGAGGCTCTACAGCTCACCTTGAAGAGGCGTGACGATGCCAAGCTTTCCGAAATCAAACAGTCCAGCTACAATCGCCAAAAGCGGAACACACCTCCAATAGAGCCGAAACCAATGATAGATGACACCAAAGAATTAGTGTTCAAAGCAGATCCAGTCTTGCAGAGGTGGAGTCTATCTAAAGGACTCTAGTCGGTGTTGATGAGGAGCGGCAGCCTTGGAGAGGCCTAGACTTGCGAAGTGGAGATCCTAGACAGAACTAAGGCGGACAACATCGGATAGAAGTGAGCAAGACTCGTGAAGCGAACTCATGGCGTCATTTCCAAGACATATTATCATGAATAGACTCGTAATATTTTTTATTAATTATTGTATATTTCAAAATGAAACAATAAATATATGATATGAATTTAAAAAGAAGCTAGACACTTAGAGTTATTGTCTCATGGTTGTTGATGTACGTATTTGTTCGACTCCCTGGGAATGTTGTATTCGGACCAAACTAGTGAATCCAGCAAACCAAGAAGATAATTGAAACATGGATGGAATTGAACGCTCACATAACCACCACCACAAGACGAAAAAAATAGATACATATGAGGGCATCCCTCTAAGATACGACCAAAACTCAGTGCAGGTGAGCCGCATCTGAGTTCACCCGTGTAGAACAAACTACATGGTATCGATACAGCTGCATTAAAGTACAAATATGAAATGGATTACAGACTATGGTTTTACTTTTAGGTGAAGGACTTGACTGCAGAAGAGGTAGTGACCAAACTTGAGAGGAGACCAACAATTAGAGCACTGTTATATGTTGTTGGCTCTGCTTGCATCGAGTTGTTCCGGGAATCGATGAATGTTTCATTAAGGAAGGGCCCACCCACGAGGCCTCCAACGGCTACATTAGGATTGGGAACAGTTGAATCTAGCCACTTGAAGCCATCCGTGCAACCGGTCGTTGCATCGGATGGAATGGAAGCTCCTCTATGATGCACGTATTGTGGGTATTTATCACCATACCCCACAAGATAGCTCATTTTCAAAGGGTTCTTGCCCAAGACATAATCAGCCTGGAAGCAAAGATCATTATAGAACTGTTACCGAGTGGAAATGCAGATTGATACTTTTAGGGGCGTATTTTTTATTCTTCAGCTGCATCTTTTTTTCAAACATATTTCTCTTAGAATGTAAACAACTTACTTGTGATTTGGCAAACTTCCTAAGATATGATGGTTTGAATGAATGGTCACCACAGGTTATCTTAGGAGTCTGTGATGTAAGCATGTAATCGCTGTAAAGAGCAGCTAAAAAGGCAGAAGCAACAGGGTGCTGCAGAGCATTCCATTCACTGACCCATATAAGACCACCTGCACCAGAAAGTTCATACAGGTAAATAAAATCCCAAGGATCAAAACATATTTAGTTTATATGTAGCCAAGTGATCTAGATGTAGAGGATGAATTTAGTAATCTAGATGTAGACAATATCCAATCTCAAGTCCATCAATTTCTTAATCGAGTCTAAAATCGTTTTATTTGATAAGGAACTTTCTTCAAACCATTTCTCTCTGTCGAATTCAAAGGTCCGTATGTCAAAATATGAATTCCATTCACTTAGCTTGAAAGAAGAATTACCGTCTGTTCTGCTGGATGTGGCATAGGGAGATTTTGGCAGAATACTACACATAACACCCTCGGCAGACTTCCTATAGTTTCCAAGGCCAGAATTCCCAGAAACACCTTTGGCACCAAACAAGCTTAACCTGGAAAGCAAAACCTGCATAGATATACGCACCGTACAAGTTAACGCCAACTATTTTCTCACTAAACGTGCTTAATATTCGAGAACTTGGGATTTCTCATATTATCACAATGCTTGCGACATGTCTATGTCTAATGAAGGTCAAAGAACAACAAGATCGCTTCAAATTCCTCTAAAAGAGAACATTACCTGGGTCCCTGCATTTTTATTATCCCAGCTAAACCACGTTGGACTTCCCCATGAAGCAAAATCTTTCCCGTTTTCCCCAGTCGCATATTCAAGGTAAAATCGATCGCCTGTGGCATGATAGAGCCAGCTTGCTGCCCATAAGAGCTCATCCCCGTATCCCGTTGAATTGTAATACGTTGCAACTTCTGGGATGTTCTCACTGTAAGAGCCTCTATATTTGTCTGCAAAAGTAAACAGTTGCTTGGCATGCTTAAGAAGCGTTCTCGAGTACGTTGAGTCAGACGTCTTAAACACCAGAGATGCCGAAGCCATAGCTGCTGCAGTCTCAGCCGCAACCTCTGTCCCCGGAACAGATGTGTTCACCTGAGTGAGAGGCCTCTTCTCTTTCATTTTTTCAGGCCTTTCCCAACATTTATGATCTGTCTCAGGGTCACCCACCTACCATAATGTTGGAAGAAGGAAAATATCTTTACATGTAAGTATATTTCATAGGCTTTCTTTCAAGAGATTGTGGAATTAGATTCCAAATAATAACCTGAATATAGAGTACGTTGTCTTCAGGATGAGCATTTATAAGGAAATCAGTTATCCACTTGAGAGAGTGGTGAGCAGGTTCCAGTTGATTCACTGCCGCCATCTGATCTCCATACTCGAGGATAGCCCATGATAATACAGTAGCAGTAAATGCCAAAGGAAACCCAAATTTCATGTGATCCCCAGCATCATACATGCCCTTGGAAAGATCTAACTTCGCTTCACTTCCATCCTTAAGCCCCGAATCTCCTCTCCATGATATCTTATTATCCACTAACTTACCAGCTGCAACAAGAAGCACGTTTCCAATAAACTACTTGTTTGAGTAACTAAATATCAAGCTAGTTTAAATCAGGGTCCCTATGCTAAAGGCTTGTAGGGAAAAAAAGTTAAATTTCGATCTAAAATGTACGAAAACTGAGCAAAAGAGGGTAAAAGAAAAGAAAAAAAGGTACATTTTTGAACGTCGAAGAATTGCATTGCGATTTTGAGAGCATCACCATACTTCTTGTCAATAGCGCCTGGAGGACCAGGGACGGGCTCCGGTTTATTATCATTAGTGTGATCCATTTTCTTCTTGATTCCATAAACAACAGCTCCCACAACAAGAGCCAGTATTACTATCACCAGAAACCACCCCAGACACCCTCCCGACTTTGATTCTTTCCCCATTCTTTTTGTCACCTCAAAATCCAACCAAAACACACAAATCTGGAACCTAAGATCTAGATGAAAACAAGCGCATCAGAACAAAGGAAATGTTAAAGAGAAATGCCGGGTTAATGTGCCAAGAAAAATAGGAAAGAAGAAGAAAATCTGTGGAGCTGAATGGCTCTCAAAATTTTTGTGACTTGTAAGGCAGAATCAAAGTATTTGTTTAATGGGTAACTTCTTGCAGGGCAGAGACAGAGATCACCGACACAAAAATTTGAGGCGGACTATCAAAATTTCAGTAAAAGATAATAATGTTTTCTTTGTTTGCCCGCTACTTGTACCTACTGATATCTTTAGTTTGGTCGGGCGAGATAGATTCAGTTCATCGCAGCCGTTGATGTTAATTTCATGGGGGACCTACACCAGTGTCTGGTGCAGTGCAATGGCTTAATTCCACAACCGATAACTGGTGTACTTGAATGGACCGTTGATCTTGTTTTTAACTGTGATTGGCAATTTCACATTTGGTGGGTTGAGTCGGTGTTCCTCCATGCATTGCTCTTTTTTTTTTTTACATCCTCTGGGCCTGAGGAACACCATGTCTTGGGCTGGAGATCTTTTACAGCTCTCCTGTTTGCTGTCTTTTTTTTTTTCAAAGAAAAAAAATTGTTATAATGCCACTAAATGATTACCGTTTTGTCGACGTATGGGATAGAAATCGTGGAAAAGTTCCATCTCCGGACAACATTTTCTGTTAACTAATCACAAATGGAACCTATTTAACTTATTACCAAAAAAGGAAACCTTATATTCAAATTTATTACAACTAATTATTATAATATGGGCACTAAAATATAGTATATTATTTTTTTTCAAAATCGTACCAAACATTTAGTTTTTATTTTATTTTAGTATTAGGTCGTTAAAAACTTAACGACGAGCTCATCGGTCATCGCATCTACAATCGTTGATCGTCGCGTCCGTCGCTAATGAAGCCCAACCTTTCTTGCTCGTACCTTTTCGACCCCCTAAACATGATTCCGACCTCCTAAACATGATTCCAACCTCCGTTTCGTCGGAAAATACATCAATCTCCCCAAATCGACGATGGATTCTTCGACTTCTCCATCCTCTAATCTCTGTCGTCAACCATATAATGATCCTAAAATGGACTATGTTGATTTACTCGTCATTATGTTGATTTACTTGTCATTCTCCCGTGGTCTACTCTTCGGATTGATCGTTTGTCCATCAGAGCTATGTTTCATCAGCTCATCTGTTAAGTTTTTAGCGGTGGGATACTAAAATGAAACGAAAACTAAACATTAGATATAATCTTAAAAAATAAAAAATTTAGATATTAAAACAGAATAGTTTAGATACTAAACACATAATTTATCCTAAAATATATTCATAAGGGATGAACAATTGATAAAACTTGGGTTAAAATAAATTAAGAAGATAAACGATCATATTTTAAATAATAAAAAGAATAAAACTTGAGCATTAGATTATTATTATTATCATTATTGGTTTCGACGGTCGTTAACTCGTAGAAAAATATAAATTGAATGGTTTTCCTAGTGGGCTCACATTACTCGATGGTCGAAGCTGCTTCTAGTGGGAACCTGTTCGACCCATTCCTTTCCATAGTTCAGCAACGGGCTGCGAATATAATAAAAATGGTTGTCCCTTGTTCTCATATGTAATGGGGTAAGGGGGAGGTAAGATAGTAGGCTGCCCTCAACACCAGGTTGAGAGCAGCTTCCGCAGAAGACCTCCGAATTATAAAATATCCTCCGTGGGACTCGATCGCACGACCTCAAAATTAAGAACCTTGTACTCTACCAACTGAGCTGGATAGTCATCTCGGGCTGCGAATATAATAATTATTCTTATTCATGCATCAACTTTCTACGTAACATTACAGACTAAGGGTTAATTTTGATGGAAAGCTCATCCATTGGGTAAAGTAAAGACTAGTTTTGATGGAACGCATACGAGAGAAGCTCGGGACCACAAAGGGTTCGTGTTAGGAATTAGGATGTGTGTGCGGTGATTGATTTGAGAAAGACTCTCCATCCATTTATGCCACAACGGCAGCTCGGAAAGGATTAGAGGTGGTGAATCATTCTGAAGGTGATTGATTCTCTCCAAGAGATTCACAAGCTCAAATGACATCTCACCAATTGAACATATCTCATAGGACTGTATATAAAACAGTGCGGAGATTAAACAAACAACTCATTTACATCTCCAAATTTCGCTGTTCTTGTTCTGAGGAGTTGTTTTGGTTAGAGGATTATCCTCCCTTATTCACCATTCTGTTATTACTGGCGCTATTCATGCTTAACCAATAGCGGAGTTCGGATTTTCCCAAAAAGAAAAGGTAAAAGGCAACTTCCTTCCACGTAAAACAAGATTAGGAAAAGCGATCCGAAAAGAAACAAAGCTGCATCTTGTCTTAAATTTACAAAAACTATACATTAGAAAGATCTCCAAAAACACATTACAGTTTCATGCTACCTAATTCATTTTTTTAGGAATTAATCGACGACCTTAGAGTCCATCTTAATCAGCTTTGGTGTGCCTTAAATTCTTTTAATTAATTTTCTGGCCCAAAGCTACATAAAAGATAAAGCTGAGCGGTTTAAAGGAGGTCGATGACGCCAGCAAATATTCTTGCCAAAGGTAATTTGCCATCCCTCGTCCTAACCCTTTTTCAGATCCCTTTCACCAACTCCCAAACAACTAAGCACTATAAAAATTTAAAAAGATACCAAGAAAGGCATCAAATAACGGTACTCATTGAATCTGGTGATTGTTGATGGAAGGATAGAATTAACTTTCATATCATTCGACCGTTGTTCCCAAGTACAATTCCAGAATTCACTTCATGCCAAAATTTTGTCGGATCTTTTGGCGCCTAACACCTATAACCAAAGATTATATGGTTGAATTAATTGGACCCAATAACCCACGATATGCAGTTCTTTGGGGGGGGGGGGGAAATAAAAGCAACAATTGAAATAGAAACTAGAAGGCAAGAAATTTAGAGCAACGTCAACAACAACGATTCATTATACACCTACCAATTTAAGTGTCAGTTCAGTATACAAAGTAAAGGAATTAATACCATTAGTTTAACGAGCTGCAGAGCGATTTTTCCTCAATCTACCACGTGTGAGTCGAATGCTTTCTTCCATGAGAGTCTCTATCGGGGGAGGCATTGTGATATCATTCCGTGGAGGTGGCGCCGGTTCTATTTGCATTGCTTCCGCTTCAGTCTCTGCAGGCTGGCTAGAACTTTCCAATGTTGTATCTACTTTTTGGCTATTCGATGATGCCGAAGAGGTAGTTGGTTTAGCCACTTGTGAAGTCACCTTTGAAGGTCCCACCTCTTCAGCTACTTCCTTCTGTTGTTGACTTGACGATGCAATAGATGTTGGTGAAGGCGGTTCTTCAGCCTCAGGCTCTGGCTCTGCTGCTTGTGCTTTACTAGATGATTGATGGCTTGGCACACCCGAGGGTTGGCGAACCCTAGCACCTTGTGCTTGAGAACTCTAGAGTTACACGAGAAGAAATAAATGAACTTCAAATAGATATAACCATGTATAGAGAAAGAAAAACCAGAATAGAAAAGTTGGAAAGATTAATTACTTTTCAAGTACTAAAGACATTCAATTAGCATACAAATGTTACAACTGGACACGCTGTACAGAGTTTTTGATGCACTATATTCAGGTCATTTTCTAACTCCATAGGAACCATTTTTACAAAACATCCAATTTTTGGTTTCATCAAACTAAACTTGTTGCATAAAACTCATACGGAGGAGGTAATGACAGCACAAACTAGCGTTGGTTATGGTCTCATAATTACCTGAGGTTGGTGAGGTCTTGGAGTTGACTGTGAAGCAACATATTGCAGGATCTCAAAAATTCTTGTCTGGCCATAGCTTGCAGCTCTTTGCCAGTAAAGAACTGCCATATCTCCAGCTCTTGTCCTTAGTTCCAACAAGTTACGGTCAATTTCATTTTCGTGCTTTGCAATATACGGTCTAAAGAAGGATTCGTACACATAAGATGTTCCCTGGAGAAAATTGAAAACGTAAGGGCAATTAAAGAAAACATCAACATGTAGATGGATAAGTAAATTTTACTTGTTTCTTTAAAAGTAATACACCTACCCTTGTTTTAGGGTACCACAGGTATATAAAGAATGCCAACTTAGCCTCACTATACATTGGAACCCTTCAAAAAAAACAAAAGGGGAAAAGGCACAGTGAGAAACAGAACAGACATGAAAGCATCCTTATTGTTTTAAGATTCCATACCATGAAACAAAAGCATCACCAATTCTCTCACTAATTGTCAAAACAGCCACCAATATCCTGAAACCAGAAAAGAAAAGGGCGGAAATAAAGGAAAAGTTGTAACATAAATTAAATTAGAACAATCTTATATGAACAGAACACCAAATGAAGACCTACCAGTACTTGCACCAAAACCGCAGTTGCTCAATGTCAGGCTTATTCATTTCAACAGTTTTATAACACTCATATGCTGGATACGCATAGCCAAAAACCATCCTGGCAAATTAAAACTAAAAGATTATTTTCAAGAAAGGACATAAAATAATACTAAAATGAGAGAGAGCCAGTTGTAAAGCAAAACATACACAAGTCCTCTGGTAAGAAATGATCCAATCATTTTGTTAATTTCCTGGAAAAGAGATTACTCCCAGGAGTTAAAGACAGCATCAAAATCAACATTATAAATCCTAGAAAATAAGAACAGTCATACATATGCTAATTGAAGCAAAATATCAGCCTGAGTGACAATATATATATATATCCCTATCTTTCATCCCCTATACTATCCAGATTCCTTGAAAGGTTAAAAATCCAAATCCTCACCATACAGGGAATTTGAGGGAAGTGATTATTTCTAATGGGAAATGTAACTTTTCAGTTCAAAAGAAAATGAAATTAGTAATAATTTGTACCATCTCCAATTGTCTTCAAAAGAAAACATAGAGTGATATTGTTACCCAAGTTTATCCTCTTTGGAAAGCAAAGAAAAATAGTTGTATAGTTTGAAACATCTCCAAATCTCTTTCAAAAGAAATCCTAGAGTGAATTTGTTACCTAGGTTTCTCCTGTTTCTCTTTCTTTCCTTCCTTGATGAATTACTAAAGAAAAGGAATCACTTCAGTTCCCGCTATCCGAACATGCAATAAATCCCAATCAAACAACGCCTTATCAAGTTGAAACGTAAGAATTTCTTGGGCCCATAAATCTAAGCAGGTAAGAAATATGCCAAATACGATTTAATGAACGAGATTCTCTTAACAGCTTATGAAAAGACTCTTAAACTTGGTTCAGCAAGAATTTTCAAATACCGGAAATGAAAACAACATTAAACCTGTTTAGATGTCTATTTATCATCATTTTTTCTGAGCAACCAAACAGAGGAGTACGAGTAACGTAAAGTTACAAGTACAAAAACCAGATTGATCCAGCTAATCAAACCCCAAGATTAGTCGTAACAAGCAATGAAGTATTAAACACTAATTAGATAACAAAATATAGGATGTCGTACGGAACTATAAGTGTTCAAAATTTATGCAACATATCGCACCGAGAAGCAGTGAAAACAAAGAAATAATCGAGTGAAACGGGAATACCGTCGAGTTCAAAAATAAATCAATAAAAATTGATTAAAAATATATTCAGGCAATCCAGAATTTTTTTTTAAGAAAATACAGTTATCAACATTCGATAATGTAATGTCAGATGAAATCTTAATTGCGGTGCTAGCGAAATCAATCACCAAAAATAAGTTGGGAAGGCAGAGCGATTGTTACCTTTAAACAGTAATTTCAATACGACGATGCAAACAAGAATGCAACACGATTAGAATCGGAAACGATAGTTAAACTAGAGCACTGAAGCGATACACATGAGGACTTTTCAAGGAAATAATATGAGTAACTTTGGAGAAGATAGCCGGCCAACAGTAAAATCGGCGCCGCCAAAATACGACGGCTAACCGTTACGAAGTCGGTGGTAGCGGTGGGAGAGTGAAAAAGAATCTTGGGGAAAAAATATTAAAGAGAGAGTCGGAGAGAGAAGATACAGCATTAGTCTTTTCCTTCGTAACGTTAAACCAACTTACCCATTATACCCTTTGGAGACTAGGAAGAAGCTTCTTTTCAGGGAGGTCGTATATTAGTAATATTGAGTTGTTTCTGTCATAAATTGATTTAAATACAACCTTTCTTTACTGTTAATTTAAGGAATTTACATAAGAGAGACATTAATTGATTAGTAGTTTATTTAAATATGTATAATTTTTTTATATAAATTTTGAATAAAATAAATCATCTCCATAAGAGAGGCATTATCAAAATTTTAAAAAATTGGAATTGCTTTGAAGTAAATAATATATTAAACAATATTTATGGTTTTTTAATTTTTCTTTTTTTATAAAAAAAGGAAGAATCAGCAGCTGAATAATTAATGGGTAAAGTAAGTGATCGTTAAGGATAACGATCAAGGACTCGTTTACTTGTAATTAAAAGCTTATTTAGAACACTTCGGCTAATATAACAAATCAGATGGTGGGTCCAATATTATTGGACTACTGATGAATGTCTAAGCAGCCCTAAATGTCAGCTTTACAAATGGGTGAGCCCGTTACAAGCCTAAAAAATAAATGGGTTTTCCAGAAATACGTGGTCACCACCGACAGCAGAAATAATGTACACATGAGCAGTTGTCAGCCAATGCAAAAAGCACAGTCCCAATTGGCATACTTCCCTGAGACCATTGATAGTGAACATGGTCTGGGATTGAGCCACTGGAAAATTAACCAGAAATTGCGATTCGAGATCCTGTCACTGTTCTTATTTCGACTCAGATTTACCCATGGTGGTGGTGGATCTCCAAGCTGCGCAACTTGAAACTCTAAGATACCAGCCTCAATTCAAAAAAAATTCAACTTTTAAATTCATTGGTTAAATAGAGGTTTAAAATAAGAGCAACCCTAAACTCTCGACATACTAGGAAAGTTTTATTTGAGCTAATAAGAAGGAAAAAAAAAACAAATCCCTTCTACAACTGATTCCTTGAAAATAAGCAACTGAATTTTACTAATACACAATCTTTTGCCTTTATTGAAAAATGTAGGAACTAGGGTTGACTTATATTAGTATGCATCCGAGTACCACTTAGGATGTAGCCTCCAGTTCCACTCATCTGCATGCAGGGATGGGTTCTTGATGGAAGCACCTGCATATTAATAACCCCGTTATTCCCACAAATAAAGCATCAGATAGTTTTAAAATGTTAACGAGGAAGATGACCTGATATTCCCGTAACCAAGGTTCTGAAATTTGTAATCCAATTGCCATTTTCTCAAGTTGCAGATTGTGCATGCATGTTGCAAGAGGCTGTATTTAGACACAATAGTTTGATCAAGTTATTTTCTAGGGAATGACTGGTACCACAGTTACTCTTCGCAACAGAAATACTGTAATTATCAGCTTTATAAAAACAAATAGAAGTCTAATCTTGGTTTCTTTCAAGATTTAGACCAGTAAGAAGAGGTGAAAGCGAAGCCAATGACCTGCAGATACTGGTGATAAATTGCAAAAGGAGCTGAGTATGTCAGAAGAGGCAGAAAATCCTTAACTAAGCCCCACGCATCCTGCTCCGGTGCAGCAATAATTAGGCTACACAAAGACATTGAAATTAAGAATTATGGCTATATGATTCTAATGTTAAGAAAGCAACTGTTTACTTCTGTAATTGTAGATACCTAGAGAAACCATTCTCTTTCCACGACTGAATGGCTTCTTTTGGGGCTTTTTCTCCAGCTTTTGGAGCCTTGCAAGTTTTGCTTGAGGAAGAAAGTTTATTCTCAGGAACAAGATCCGTATCACCATTATTGGATGAAAGGTGAACATCTTCCGTGCCAATTGATAAGGATGTTTTTTCCTAAAACATATCACAATACATTAAGGGGGTTTGAGATAAAGAAAAAACCTAATCACAAAGGAGCATGACTAACATTAGATTGACTTTCCATTGTACAGTCATCTTCATGTTGGCTGACCTGCTCACCAGTTTCAATTTGGACTGAGCACAGGTCATTGAAGGAACACCGCAAAATTCTGAGGAAAAATGGAAGAAAGTACATATTTTGATTAACATAATTTTGCATTCATATCTGAGTTATGCACATGTGAATGTCAGGTGACAAAAAGAGTGACTAGTTGGGAGCAAACTCAAAAGTTGGAAGTGTACCTCTTGCAAATTTCATCACTGAAGTTGAACATCCTTATTATCTCTATAGGATATGGTGTCCCTCCAAGATAAGTACTGCACACACTACCGGTACCTGTGACCACACAAAAGATCTTCAGGTAAGCTAAGCTATAAAAATGCATTTGAATAAACTTGTTCAATACCTCCTAAACGCTCAGCCACAGCACCAGTAACAAGTCCACCAACCATATCCACTACAAGGGCATCTGAGTTTGCAGTGACGTTAGCCATTGAAAGCAACAGAGATAAAGCATCCACTCGCAAAAATCTGGATCATAAGAAAGGAACAACAAATTAATTCCAATTGTTACATGACTGCAGAAGTAACTTATAAAAAACCATAGTTAATGATTACCCAATTCGAGCAGGATACTTCTTGAAGTATGCCTCACATATACTGACACAATAGTAGCAAAATGCAAGTCAGCAAGGAGAGAGAGATAAACCATTTAAAAACCACATCCCACAAAAGCAGCTCGAATAAAGAATAATATAGATACCTTCTACAAAAGGGTCGTCTAAGAAGTACTCTGGGTGCATATTTCTTTTGCTTCTTAAGCCTATATTTTTCCTGCAGATGAAACACAGAGACATTTATATCTCCGTTTCATTCTTTTTCTCCTGATCTTTTACAACCCTACCAAACCAGCTTGTATTCGAGATTGATAACCATTAATAAAGGTAAGACTCTTTGAGAACGAAATAAACTAACCTGGGAGAACTGTGTTTTCTTATCAAAAGTTGCACTGTTAGCAATGAGTGCCTCAACAATTTCATTCCCCGTTGCCCCCTGTCTGCATCACAAGAGAAAGAAGCAACTAGTGAAAATCCGTGCACACACAATAAGCCTACACAAAACACAGTTTTTAACCTCCGCATTGCATCTATATCTTCACCGGTGAGGGTTTGAGCTTGATTATTATCAATTATTGCTCGGTTGTCACGGGATTCTTCCTGTAATTGACTACCTCCTTCGTCTTGAACATTATTCTCTGCAAATAAAAACGACAGATGAGTCTTATCCAGAATGAGTTTGAAATCAATTAAGCCACAAAATCACGTTTTTAGGGAAGGGGGAAAAAGAAAGAAACCTTCAGTAGGCGGAACAAAGCGGGAAAGGTAAGGTTTTTCCTTTCCGCTTTCAACTTGAAACAAAGACCCAAAGGGACAACCAATCAATGGTTGCAAAGAGTATGTCTTATTCCCAATTTTCAAGGTACTGAAACAGTGACACTAACGAATTAAACAACGGAAAATTTAAAATTTCATAATCAGTAAAACGAACTGTTTTAAGTAAAATAGAGCTTACGAGCCGGCAGAGAGACGAGCGAAAACAAGGCGATCGCCGTCATTGATGTCGAGCAATACGCTGCAACCTTCGCAGGTTACTCTAGGATTTATAACAGGGCCCGATTCAGGTTTACTTTCGGACATGTTAATATTCTCTTATTAAACAAAGATTTGCTCTTATTCTGCCGTGTGTGTAAAAGAATAAAATTCACAAACAAGAATCTGAAGAACAACTTCAGTTCACTAAAGAGACTTAGGTTTTGCGGAACATTATCTAACTAGTTGGCATTCCAACAATCAACTTTCCCCAAAGAAAGTAAAACCTTAACGTCTAGGGTTTAAGTAAAAGTTTAAAATAAAACCGCTACCAGTACAACGAGGAATGTTCTGTTTTATCTTGGATTAAATCCTTGGGCTAAGCCCAAACCATAACAAAGGGATGTCCAAAAATCAGTCTTGAGTTTTTCCATTTTGTGGCATCGTTTAGATTGAGTTAAATGCCAAGCAAATTTTGGGGTTTTTTTTCAATAGAGAAGCCCCAAAAAATTGTAAAATAAGTCGCAAATATTTTTATTTTGAGATTTGCGGTATTTGTGCATAATGACATGGGGCTAGAGTGTAGGCTAGTTGGTCCGTGAGGCTCTTAGTCGCTTTGCTCGGTTGCTGGGTGCTAAGGCAGCCTTAAAGCTTAAGCTTGATTGCTTAAGTTGTTGCGAACGTGAGAATAAAAGAGAGTGAACGGAAATAAGAGATGCAAGAGAGTATTTGGCTTGGAAGTCGGGTTAGTCTTATTTCCAATAGAAAAGAATGAATGAATACAATAGGGTGGGGAGGCCCCTTTTATAGTGATAATCCCCTATGAGTTGATGGCTAAGTCTACTTCTACTCTAACTAAAATTACTTCCCTACTTAAGTTAAAACTCTAAAGGTTGAGTCCTATTTGAACAAGGATGGTGGTTTTGTCTCTTTTCTTAGAGGGGGCCAATTTTGGCTTGAGGAGGCTCGGATCATGTTGTGTTCAGCCTTATTCCATTCTGTTGTGGGCTTGGCCTGTGTTGGGGCGTGCTTGGTTCATTTCTTGATGCGTCTGGGCCTCGGAGTGCCTTGGTGCGTGTGGATGTGGGCTGGATGATGTTGGACTCGACTTCAAGGTCGCGGTCCGTGACATTCTCCCCCACTAGTTCTAGCGACGCCCTTGTCGCTTGGCTTGCATGAAATTGTTCGATCTTGTCTCTGAATTTCCATAGGGCTTCGGCTGGTTCCCAGCTCCCTTTGCTTTCGGGGAGCCCCTTCCATTGAACTAAGTACTCATGCCTTGGTTTGTGCCCCACTCGGTGAAATGCTCTTTCAACGTGGATTATTTCGACTTCCTTTTCGTAAGAGGCCTTTATTCCAATTGGATATCAATGAGAGATACTTCGATTGGGATCATCCTTGTCTGGATGGAATGGCTTAAGTAGGCTCACATGTAACACCGGGTGAGCTTTGATGGTTTGTGGCAAGTCTAATCTATAGGCCATGATGCCTATTCGTT